TATATATATATATATATATATATATATATACACACATACACACACACATATTTACACAAAACATGATGCACCAGTACAGTTATTACCCAGTTTTAATTTCCGTATGTGCGTAGAGTTTGCCGTACCTTGTGTGTGTTCGGGGAGGGCGAGCTGAATTAGTCGACCCAAGAACAGATGAAGGTCATAGAGGTAAGGCACTTCATCTGTACAAACCAGACTGAAGGTGGTTCCTTTTCTGCCAGCGCGCGCCACACGAACTGAAAGACAGAGCTGAGGGTTAAATATCCACCTCAGACCGCTGGACAACCTTCAGTCTGCTCAGTCACACACCGACTCTGTGCAGGAAGAGTTTGGCCTTCGATGGGAAGTTGTAGTTGATGACGTTGTCCAGGAGCGGGATGTCAATGCCACGGGCCGCCACATCTGTGACCAGCAGCACCATGGCCTTGCGGTGGACGAAGCGGCCGATGTTGATATTGCGGGCCGTCTGGTCCAGAGCGCTGTAGATGTAGGCACACTCAAAGCCCTCGACCATCAAGAGCTGCAGACACAGAGAGAAACAGATCAAAACCAGGGGTGAACGATGAATGAATGAGGAGCTACTAAAGTATCCAGTCCAGTTTGCACTCAGCATATGTAAAGACACAGTAAAGCAAATGTTCCAGAGCTTTTTGCACCTCTTTGAGATGCTCCACATGATGTTTGGTGGCTACAAACACCACCGTCTGTTCTTGCGGCTTCACCACATTTCTCAGCAGATGCAGCAGAAGGGCTGGTTTATCATCCAACCACAAGTGGAAAAATTAAAGCTGGTGAAGAAAAGGGGGAAAAAAAATCTCATGGATGCTATTAAGAATACTATTAAAATAATTTTATTAAAAAAATTAAAAAGTAATACTTTTAGTCCGCAAGGATGCATTAAATTAATCAAAAGTGACAGTAAAGACATTTATAATGTTACAAAAGATTTCTATTTCAACAAAATGCTGTTCTTTTGAACTTTCTATTTATCAAAGAATCCTGAAAAATTCCATCAAATTATTCGGCAGCACAACCGTTTTCAACATTGATAATAATCAGAAATGTTTCTTGAGCAGCAAATCAGCATATCAGAATGATTTCTGAAGGATCTTGTGACACTGAAGACTGGAGTAATGATGCTGAAAATTCAGCTTTGATCACAGGAATAAATTACATTTTACAAAGAAAACAGCTATTTGAAATTGTATTAATATTTCACTGTTATTCCTATATTTTTGATTAAATAAATGCAGCCTTGATGAGCATCAGAGTCTTCTTTAAAATTTTTTTAAATAGGATGACCATACATCCTATTTTTCTGGACAGGTTTTGGCTTTGTTTTCCTATTGACGGTCTCTCTACAGTCCTCATACTCTGTACATGTATTTGCATTGCTTTAACCTTTCTCTGTAGATCCCACCTTCTCGCACACCACGATCGGTCAATTATGTACAATGACTGCATGCTATTGGTCAAAATGCTTTTCAGTCATTACCACCTGCAAGTATGAAAACAATTGGAAAACAAAGCCAAAACCGAGACATTTCAGGCAATTTAGACCATGACATATCCGGGAAAAAAAGAGGAAGTATTGCATTAAAAACACCGACCCCGAATAGTAGCATAAACAGACTCTTTTACTGGTTTAACATATGCTAACAGTGTTATTGTGAATGATTTATCAGTGCATGTTTTCAGAAAATTTCATCAAAGCCCCACTTCTGAAACAACCATTTTCAGCTGACATTGTCAATCCCTATTTTTGTAGACCCTTTTCACCATCCAGTTAGTTCGACGTGAATAAAATCAACTCTACCTTCAGCTGGTCACTCAATTTCGTGTCCACATCCAGACGAATGAGAACCGGCTCTGTGAGGCCTGTCACAGAAAACACAAGGATCAATTTTTTTTACACACCTCATCCCAAACCTTCCGTTGCAAATTCCAAAACGTAATTTTAGAGCTGATAACAGAGGCTTGAGCCATTGATATGCTGGCTTACGCAGTTATTAATGCGGTTATTAAAGAGAGAGGGAGAGATTAAGTGCGTGTGAATACCTGCGTCTATGCCTCTCTCAGCAGCGTTCAGCAGCAGCGTCTACTAATAGCGAATCTTTAAGTTAAACTCCTTCATCAACCTCGCTACTGAGAAATGTCATGTAGCTTTTCAGCTGCGAAACTATTTTACTGATAAATTCGTGGTGCAGCGCTGACAAGAAGTTTCTGCTCGCGTCTCCGCACTGTGTGTGCATCTGTGAGAGAGACTGGGAGAAAGAAAGCCTGATTTCCGTAGCCTACATAAAAAAGGTGGAAGACATGGAAATAGTTTGTAGTTTTTTACCCTATTGTTTGTTATATTTATTTGCTCAATGTCTTGAGCAATGCGTAAATCCGGCCCTATTAGACAGCAATCGGAAGTTATTACAAACACTCGTTGGTGGTTTAAAGTGAGTTTTGAGTAAAAGCGGAATATAAATCTTATTTATTGTCTTATGTAGCATGATGCTACAGTTTGCATGAATGGTCACATAACACGCGCTTTCGGTCGTGTAACGTTAGTATGAACGGACATCTGCATATGATCGGAACTCCACGCAGCTCCTGCGCTACTCTCCATTGGAAATTAATGACCGGTCTGTCGCTTGTCGTAGATAGTGGAAAGCCGACTTGAAACGCCAGTACGATGAGGATAGTTTTAGAACATAAACGCACCAGTGTAAATGTAGCCTTACATCTAAGGGGGCTGGGCCTGGGACGCATTCACACTACAGCCTCACGTGTGCACCACTCTCTGGGTGTATTCGACTTGACGCGGACCGACTGTGCAGACCGATCGGTGTATTACAATACCACGAGAGCTAAAGAGAGCAGACTGCTCCGTGAGCTTTCGAATCGCTCTCGCAGATGATCGATCTGCGTTGCACCTCTTCTGGTTGAACATAATGGCTAGTGCTGCAGGCTTATTGGCTCACTGACGCTGAAGAGATTAACCCCCTAGGTATCGAAATTTGGTACCGAATGACGAGACGTTTTTCGATACTCGATGGTATCGAGGCAATTCGGTCGGTGCCTAAAAAGTATCGAACTCGATACCCAGCCCTACTCAAAACATGCCTGTGATGTGCCATAATGGGATATAATCACATGTATTAACATCTAGACTGCGAGTACCAGCTCTGGCGAAATCCACAATCATTTTGGGCAGTGTGGCAGAGAACAGCAGCGTCTGGAAGACGTCTGATGATTTCCTGAAGCTGCTCTGCAAAACCCATTTCAAACAGCCTGGAAAAGCAGGAATGTCTCGTTAGAGCAGCGTAGTGAACACACATAAACTTTACTCCTGAAATGAGGATTAATTAATAAAATGCACACTTAATCTTGGATTTAAGCAGTATGTCTGTTCTCACCTGTCGGCTTCATCGAACACCACATACTCCACAGCCTGCAGCTTCAGGTTCATCTCCTTGATGACGTGCATCAGACGGCCAGGAGTACCGATGATGCTGGAGAAACCAAGAGAACATCACACTCACATCAGCACAACCATCAAACACAGTCAAACACAAACACACTCTCTCTCACACACACAGGAGAAGGTGACGCCTCAAGGGTGAACTTACATGTCTGGATTCTCATGAAGAGCAGCGAACTGGTCGTCCATGCAGACAAACAGAAATGACACACACAGAAAGAGTCAGAAATAGCGTTCATCTGAATCAAGTCACCTTTATTGCTATAGCACTTTTTAGAACACAGATACAATTCAGACATAAACCTCATCGGATATGAGCGTATTGAGACTTGCCTCACCTGTCTCCACCGAGAATGAGTGCCGTTTTCAGGCCGGTGAACTTCCCCAGCTCAAAGCACACAAACACTCTGAGTGAATGAATGAACTCTCCTGCAGGTGAGCATGAGTAAAGCTGTGACAGCACAGACCTCTTTGGTGAACTTCATGGTCTGCAGGGCGAGCTCTCGGGTGGGCGTGAGGACCAGAGCCTGGGCCCCTGTCTGTGCCTGCGGAGCCTTCAGCTTCTCAAACATGGGGATGAGGAAGGCGGCTGTCTTCCCGCTGCCCGTCCGGGCCATGGCCACCACATCCTTCCCATCCAGAATCCCCAGGATAGTCTGAGAACAACAGAGAGACAGATTCACCCTACATACGCTCATCTAGGGCTGCACAATTAATCAAATGTTATTGTAATGCGCATCTTGTCAGTAAAGCCGGTTCTGTGATTAGTAGTAAATCTCCATCACATGCTTTCAGATGGAGCAGCGTTTACTAGACAGAGCCGTAGTTCACTAACAAACTACGCAAAATCATGTTCATAATCGCAGACGATTTAATCACGCGATTATGAAATCGAAGAAATCATTCGCGATAATGACAGCTGTTTGTGTAGCTTGTCAGTGAACTACGGCTCTGTAGTAAATGCTGCTCCACCTGAAAGCACGTGAAGATACCACATTTAATAACATGTTTTTACTCCCAACTTCCCTTCATAATGTCAATCGAGTGTTTGAAATAAATCCTTCTGTGAGATGATGTGGTTTCTTACACATAATAAGGCACCCAACATATTTTATAGTATTCTAAGCTGTGATAAAGGCTATGTCGATTAGTATTGCATTATTATATACTTTATTATAATAAAAATTATAATAAGACGAACTCAGATAAACCATATATTGCCGTAGTCGTGTGTTTATTAGTCACGTTGAATCAATGAAAGCATTTAAATCTTGTTTATTCAGCAACCACTATAGGGATTTCCTGGGTTTCTTCTGCAAGGCGTATTTGGAGTTTCAGCGCGAGAGCGCCCTCTGGCCTTCGGATGGAGATTTACTGCTGATCACAGAACCGTGCTTCACTGAAAGATACGCATGACAATCGCAGCTTCTGCCTAATCGCGATTTATCGCCTTTGTGATTTAATTTCGATTAATTGTGCAGCCCTACGCTCATCTCAAACGTTAGTGTGTTTCAAACAGCTGTTTGGGGCTCAGTGGACTCTTTTCACTGTCAGGATGCATTACCACAGTTATTAACGTTGTAGAACAACATTTATATTTTCATTTTTATAAAAATGCAATCAACATTTAGAACACAACACTATAAAAAGACTTTTGGACAACGATAATTTGAGTGCGCTTCATATGAAAATGTTGTCTTTATTTACTACTATTTTTTCTACTTCAAAATTGCACGTTTACTCAATGCATTATTTGCCTTTCCGATGTAATTGCTTTTGAAATGTTCTAGCAATTTCTGAGTGAAAATTGTTTCTCAATTTTCTCAAATCAATTCATACAAAATCGCCAACTTGTAAAATAGTTATGTTGTTTTTTTTCATGAATAATCTCGTGTGACAAAAGAAAACAACAAAAAGCTCTTTAAGAGATGCTTTTTTCCAAAAATGAATACAAAATTAGAGGTCTTTCTCTGCAATTGAGGGGTTGCTGCAAACAGCCAAAGTTGTAAATTGTGTAATTATAATTGTCACTCATTTGTAAAGACAGTAAAACTAAACATACTGCAACAACCACCAAGAGTCAAACTATACAAGTTTACCCAACTATGATGACTTCAGATTCTGAGAAATATGGAAATGTGAAAATAATCCATTCATGTGTTTTGATCACCACAGCACATTACCTTCCTCTGGATGGGTGTAGGAACTTTATAGCCCTTCTTCATTATGCCTTTATACACTGGATAACTGAGACCTGCGTGAAACCAGAGCAAATTGACTGAGTGCCAGAGATCCTGTGATTGACCGACTGATGACAGTGTTTTACATTTAACGTCTCACCCATGGACTGAAAGCCTCCAGACTTCTTCTTCTTCTTCTTGTTCTGGGCTCTGATGAGCTCTCTGGTGTAGAGCTCCACGTCAGAAACACACTCGGACGAGGCAGGGAATCGAGGAAGTCTTCTGCTGGACTGGACAACAACACAGTGATGTGAAAACAAATCACGTTCAGACTGTAATTCGTGACAACACTGCATTTCCACAGTAACTTACATTCTATTGGATAAAAAAACATATTTAATCCTCGTAATACATTCAAAATCTGTATGCTATTTTCACATTCCCAGTCCATTTGGATCAGAAAAATCGTTATTTTAAGTATAGTCATAACTCAACATTTTAACATAACACCATATTGTATCTAATCGGCAACTTTTCATTAATGAGTGAATGTGAAAAAAAATCTATGTTTTCGATGTTACCATGTTATTACTATGTTATTACTGTGTTTACCTTTTTTATTAAAGAATTTAGAAATTATTTGAAATTGCACATTACCCAAAACTATAATACTATACATGTCTCATATGATATAATCTGAGATTATATCAGTATTAACCCCATTGGAATGAATGAAATCTAATTAAAGTCCTTTGAACTTAACTCATGATTGCTCAAAAACAGTCAAAATCTGTGAAACCTACATATTAATTTCTGACAAAACAACAATTATTACTCTGAAAAAAGTTTTCAAACAAAACAAATTGATTTACTTGCATAAACTTTCAGTTGAAAAAGTGATCTTTTATTTTTCATCAAACATACATATTCATGTTTTTCAACAAAATTAAATCCAAATATTGTAAGATATAGGGAAAAGGCTAAACTTATTTTACAAAAGTTTTCTGACACTAATATAACTTCATAGATAACGTAATTTTGACACATATGGTACTCCATACACACCTGAGTCCAAAATGACCCAAACATGAAATGTGTAACCGTTTTTTAAAGGGTTATATCTCTTAAAAAATAAATCTAACACATTTTTATAATTATAATTTTACACTTTATAATTATACATTTGTAAAGGAAATTGATTGTAAAAGGTGCATCTGTCTCACAGCTCGTCAAACTAAAACAAAGAACATTCACACAAACATCCTCTTTTCAGCTGTTTACTATTTTAAAGTCATGGTAACAGGGTTTAAATTGAAATCATACTTTAAAAACTGTGGGAAAATATGATGGGCACGGTATTTTTGGTAACATACTGACACTGTCATAGTAAAACTGTCATCAGATGTTCATGTTTTCACGTTTGAGGGACACAAACAGTCTCTGATAGAAGGAAAGTGAACCGATAATAAAGAGCAAATGTGTTTAATGATTACTGTGACTCACTGTGTCCTGGTCATCTTTGATTCCTGCAGCAACTTCAAACTCTTCATCGTCAGACTGGAGCTCGTGATCTCTGTGAGTCGAGCTCTTCTTCCTCTTCATCAGTTTCTTCTTCCTCTGCGCCATCGTGTTCACTTCTACAGACCCGAGAGCTCTACGAACTGTGCTGCTGAGCAAAAACGTCGCTATTTAATCGAAGAAAGCAGTCGCTCCGTGAGATAAAAACACCGGAGAGGTTTGGAAACACATGTGAAGACGTTCCTGTGCGTGGAGATGACGTCAGAGAGCGAGACGCTGCCGTTCACTGAGCTGCCGCACGGTGGCGCCACGAACAGAGCAATGACAGTAATAACAGCACAATAACAGTAATAACAGAGCAATAACAGTAATAACAGAGCAATGACAGTAATAACAGCACAATAACAGTAATAACAGAGCAATAACAGAGCAATAACAGAGCAATAACAGTAATAACAGAACAATAACAGTAATAACCAAGCAATAACAGTAATAACAGAACAAAACCATAACAGTAATAACAGAGCAATAACAGTAATAACAGAACAATAACAGTAATAACAGAGCAATAACAGTAATAGCAGAACAATAACAGAGCAATAACAGTAATAACAGAACAATAACAGTAATAACAGCACAATAACAGTAATAACAGAACAAAACAATAACAGTAATAACAGCACAATAACAGTAATAACAGAGCAACAGTAATAACAGAGCAATAACAGTAATAACAGAACAATAACAGTAATAACAGAGCAAAACAATAACAGTAATAACAGAGCAATAACAGTAATAAAAGAACAATAACAGTAATAACAGAGCAATAACAGTAATAACAGAGTAACAGATCAATAGCAGTAATAACAGCGCAATAACAGTACTAACAGAACAATAACAGTAATAACAGCGCAATAACAGTAATAACAGAGCAATAAAAGTAATAACAGAACAATAAAAGTAATAACAGAGCAATAACAGTAATAACAGAACAATAACAGAGCAATAACAGTAATAACAGTGCAATAACAGTAATAACAGAGCAATAACAGTAATAACAGCACAATAACAGTAATAACAGCGCAATGACAGTAATAACAGAACAATAACAGTAATAACAGCACAATAACAGTAATAACAGAGCAATAACAGTAATAACAGCACAATAACAGTAATAACAGCGCAATGACAGTAATAACAGAGCAATAACAGTAATAACAGAGTAATAACAGAGCAATAACAGTAATAAGAGAACAAAACAATAACAGTAATAACAGAACAAAACAATAACAGTAATAACAGAGCAATAACAGTAATTAATAACAGTAATTACAGAGCAATAACAGTAATAACAGCACAATAACAGTAATTACAGAGCAATAACAGTAATAACAGAGCAATAACAGTAATAACAGAACAATAACAGAGCAATAACAGTAATAACAGTGCAATAACAGTAATAACAGAGCAATAACAGTAATAACAGCACAATAACAGTAATAACAGCGCAATAACAGTAATAACAGAACAATAACAGTAATAACAGAATAATAACAGAGCAATAACTGTAATAACAGAGCAATAACAGTAATAACAGCACAATAACAGTAATAACAGCACAATAACAGTAATAACAGAGCAACAGTAATATCAAAACAATAACAGTAATAACAGAACAACACGACCTTGTGATAAATACTAATTGACATTTCAGCAAATTTGTATTTGTGGCTAATAGACCTTATAACGCTGTGGGACGGACATACAGTCTTTACAATGACGTACTAAATAAAGATCTTACATCATGTAATTTTCACAACTCACAACTTTCAGAGGGTTTTTGTCTGCTGAAAGTTAATATCGGGAAGAAGATGTTTCGTCAGCTGAACAATCGGTATGTTGTTAGACAATAGTACAATCCACTGTACTTCTCAGTTTTGGCACCCTGGGCCAGATTGTCAGTCTCAAAGCAACAGTATTTTCATTTTCACTAATGCAACCTGTTCATTTTTAAAAGATTAATAAATAATAAGAAAAGAAAGAAAAAAACTTCAACATCCTAGCAAGCAATAGCCGCCATTTCAACGTCTCGATTAAGTATAGACCCGATATAGTCCGGCTGTGCAGGACAGAAAAAAGAGCACGAGTCTGCTTGTGATTAAATGGTTTAAAGTTATATTAAAATATGCACAAAGGAATAGATAAGAGGAATCGAAATTGTAATTTTATAACAAGTAGACGATTCCTGACCTTAAGCATCTTATTCCAGAATTGGAATAGATTTTGGATTCCCAAGCCTAGGTATGGGTTAAAATGTTAAATAAAATGCTCTTTTTTTTGTCCTACCATAAATGTGCCTCGACTCCACCTTTGTTATTATAACAAACTACTCTTTCAATGTGATTTTAAACCATTCAAGTCAAGAAGACTCGCGGGCTGTTTTCTCTGCTGCACACACATCCTTGTGTAAGTGTTATGTAAGTTGTGTAAGCCTGTTTATTTTCATTCATATTATTCAGCTAACAATAAAATATTTTGCAATAAGATGATATCTAAGATTTTTTTTATATATATATATATATATGACAACGAAAGAGTACAACTTACAGAAGCACTTCATATAGAAATAAATCAGATCTCACTTCAGAAATTGTTAAATAAAGATGTGACTATAGAAATGTTTCACATATTAAGTATCTCAAAGATACGGAGTTAATAAACAGGATTTAAAGAATCACTAAATGTATTTATTTTTATTTATTTTTTTTTTTTATTATTATTATTATTTACTTTATTGGAATCGAAAGTAGGAATTGACAAGAATCGGAATAATTAAAATTTAAACGATGCCCAACCTTATCCACACCCCACATTATTTTTTTACTGGCACCTTTCTATTCACACTGTTTTAGACCCTTTCTTTTCTGTTAAACCTTCACTTACCCGTCTTTGCTTTTGCCCTTCTTAAAAACAACCACATAATCTTATGTGAATGTACTTTTCAAAATTAGTTATAAAACAGTTGCTCCTGGCAACAGGGATAGGTAGCATGTTTGCTTAACATAGCGTCAAACATGACAGTTTATGAGACTAATATCATGTTTTTCTCCAAAATCACTATATAACATCAGTCATGTTTGAAACAGTTAGCTTCTGTGGATCCATGTTGCTTTTATCACAGAACGAGACAGAAAATATTTTTTTATAAAATTCTATAATGTGATACAAGCCATGTCAATTAGCGTTGCATTGCAATTGGGTGTTTATTGTCTTCCACGTTTCATCAGTCAAAGCATCTCTATCTGCATGTTATTCAGCTGTAGTGATATCTGATGCATTTGTCCATGAGGGATTTCCTGGGTCTCACTTGTGAAACAAACATTACAGTACATGAGTGTTAGGGTTAGGGTTAACCCTGCTCCATAATGCTCACATCATCTAATTTGGGGTAAAAATAGAAAAATAATACTAAAGTACTTTGTAACGCATTAACTTGAGTATAGTTTTTCAGCAAACTACTTTTTTACTCTTGAGTCATATTATTTTTCAGTACTTTTACTTGTACTCAAGTAAATTATTCCTTAAGCAGCAATACTTTTACTTAAGTACAATTTCTTAGTACTCTTTCCACCACTGGATTTGGGACATACTAATTCTAATTTCGAATATTATTTAGGATGGATAGTATGCGAATTGGGATGCAGTAATGGTTTAGCTTACTTAGAATGTTAAGTGAATTAATTAGGCCTTTATCACACTTTCGAGTTCGATAAGCGGACTTTTCAAATAGTAGCTCAAAAACACTTCTGCTGCAGCCTGTATCAATGGCTGTGCCCGTAGCACGGTATTGTGATTTATGTTAAATTCAGCACAGATACGTCTTCTAAAGACAACGCAGTTTACAATCATTTATTGAGTATTGTGAAATCTTCCAAAGGAAGATTGTTTCAAGATATTCCGACGTATATTTCGTGACTTAAAGGGGAGCGCGCAAGTCTTATGTATGCCTATGCGCAGTACTTCAGAGTCTGACCACCTTATTTTATTGCAGAACTGCAAGAAAACAATACAAACAGCATATAATGTAAAAGAACATTCCAATTAGCCAAAGCATAAATTATTAATTACGACTAAAGACTGTTTTGGATGATTAAATTAAAGGTTTGTGGGAAACTTATTGTCTAGCTCTTGTGAAGGGAGGCGCATGAAGACGAAGGTAATTCCAATAACATTTAATAGTAATCCAAGATGATGAAGATTCATACAAAACACAGGGTAACACAAGCAGCATACACAACTAATAACCGGCCGCTAACTGAACTGAAAGGGGAACTTAAGTAGGGTGAGATAACGAGGGACAGACAGGTGAGAATGAGAACTAATCAAACACAGGTGAACTGAATCAACTAATCAAAAGGATGACAGAAACTAAATGAAAACTCAAAAGTACCCCCCCCCTCCAGCCATGTGCGACTTCGTGCCATAACAAAAACAAAGGAGAGACAGAGGGGACACAGTTGGGATGGTAACAGGGGCTGGCGAAAGGCAGGCAGGAAGGCAGGCAAGTTGATGACCAAGGTGGCAACGACGGAGGAAGGAACCATGACGGATCAGATGGCGGGAGGAGCCAGGATGGAGACAGGAGGAGCCAGGTCGGATCAGACAGAGGAAGGAGCCAGGATGGAGACAGGAGAGACTTGGAGCAGGAGGAGCCAGGCGGGACCCAGACCGCAGCCAACATGACGGCCCCCGGTGGAGCCGATGGAGGGAGGAGCCATGGTGGAGGAATGGCTGATGACTCCAGGGGGCCAACCGACAGTGGCGGAGCAGGTGGGAGAGGAGCCTTGGGCGGAGACGGGGAGGATCCGGAGGGCCAAGGCGGAGCAGATGGCTCAGGTAACCGAGGCGTAGTCGGGGATCCGGAAGGCCGCAGTGGAGCCGGAGCGAGGGAGGAGCCCAATGGAGCCGTTGGGATAGATCGACGAGTGCAGCCGGAGGAGTGGAGTCCTGAGGCGATGGCGGCTCCACGACTGACCAAGGTGGAGCCATAGGGATGAGGTAGTCCGGCCGAGCTGGTGGACTGATGGGCCACGGTGGAGAGGAGGGAGCTAGGAGCCATGGTGGAGCCACTGGGTCGACGGGCAGAGGCGGAGACTGGGACTCAGAGGCTGGAGGTGGAGATAAGGGATCCTCCAGCCACGACGCCGATGGAGACTGGCAGACCCGCGGTAAATCCACATCACA